TATCAGGATTTAAAATCCACATTGTTCTTACTGCTCTGTTTAGTCTGGTTATATTCTGTTCCAATCTGTCTACTTCTAAACTTGAGAGCACAAGACAGCTATTCCAAAAATAGCAGAATATACTACGGTACCATCTTTAATTTCCTATTAACTTACTCTGAAGCTCTGTATTACTTACACTGTCTTATTATGCTGATCTTATTTGAATTTGGTTTGTGGATCGCTGTTTTGTATTAACTGATTTTATTCAAATCTGTTATGATTGATAGTATTAAGTCTGAGAGTATAGGCACTCTGAAGATGACAAGATTCACTAGGATACCCACTCTGGCTTGACTATTACCTGCTTTTGAAGTCTTATAATATCTCCAATGTTTTGTTTTAATATTGTTATGTACTGTATGTTCAATTATACTATCTATGCCTGATGATATAGACAATTCTATTGAAGATAACAAGAGATATCATAGTAACCATTGTAGATCACTTTGTAGTTTTATTTTCTAGGAATTTGTTTTGCTTTGTTTTGTTTTTCCAATAAAGAAAGGATATATTTACATGTAGAGACTCATGCATGCACAAAACTTCTAAATGGTTTATGAGAACTGATTATATAATGCACAATGAAGTCAACAACTACTTTGAACAAAAAGACACACTAAGGTACCCAGTACTGATTCTGTAGCATCATGATGTGAAATCCAGCAATACTATTTATTGTTCTTTGTTCAGAGTGATTTTAGTCTGTTTTGTTTAATTTCAACATACATGAAGGTATGGACAGCTATTTTGAAGAGACTGAGAGATATTATGACAGCCATTGTTGACTTCCTCACTGTCTGGGTCTTGAAAACCTAAAATGCCTTCATCATCCTGTTTGGATCAGTTTTATACTATGTTGTTTTGTACGAATGCGCTATATTTGAAGATATAGACACCTATTTGGAAGAAAACACAATATGATAGATAGTGAAGATCTCCGGTTGTCTTGCTTTGAAATCTATGTCTCTTACATTGTTTTCTTCTGTTTTGTTATGTTTAATTTTACCCTCTTTAAAATAAAATTTAAAAAATAAAAAAAACCTTTAAAAGTATATGACATGATTTACAGCAGTAATTTTGTATTAAATATACAACTGTCATCTAATTTGTTCTCTAACACAGTGCATTCTTTATATAACTGTAAATAACTTCACTTAGAAAAAGTGAAATCATTTAAAGTGCAGCTGAGGTAGTTTGATTCCACACAAGGACAGTCTGTGTGGTGTCATTCCTGCAGGTTAGCCCTGCTCTGAAAATACTGACTTCATAATGCAATAATGTGCTACATCTTGGTGTCAGGACTGTTGCAACATCAAGGAGCAGGACACAGCTGAGGATTCAATGGTAAACCGAAAACCCACAAAGTAGAAACATTAACATGGCATAAGGTCTGCTCTACAGGCTCTACTGGCCCTTGATTTTTACAAACCATTTTATTAACCTCAGTTTCTGGAGTTTTTTTGTCCTAGCATACGTAAAACAGCATATCACAGGAAGAGGCAAGTCAAAAGAAGCAATGCTAGATGAGCATGCCCATAGAAAGGAAAACTGATAGCAAGGAGACTCATAAATGTCAAATAACACAAAACTGCAACTATATAACACTGGTAGTACTAGAGTAAGAATTACAGTTCTGAGATACTAAACTAGAATAATAACCCAGTTATTCTGTGCTTCATGTTCTAGCTCTGTATGATGATCTTTTATCTTTCTTATTTACTTTTGGTACCAGGGATTGAACCCAGGGCTTCACTCATGCTAGGGAAGTACACTACAACATTTTCTTTAGGGGCTAGAGATTTAGCTCAGCGGCATAAGCGCCTGCCTTGCAAGCAGGCAGTCGTGAGTTTGATCCCCAGTACCGATAAAAAGGAAAAAGAACAACAACAAAAAATTTTCTTTATCACAGTTTGGTAAGCTTCTATTATGTTTCAAAATGGAATTTGAACACTTTTGCTTGATCATGAAATGAACAGACTGTTGAGAACTTGGAAAAAGCTACAAGTTTAAAGAAAAGCATAACTGCTTACAATTCACTACCCAGAGAGAGGCACAACTGAGTTCTTCATAGATTTTCTTTCAAATGTCTTCATGTATCAATATGTGCATATACTTTTCTTTGTAGCTTTTTTAAAAAGCTGTGGGCATTCCCAACTCAAAAGATCTTCATAGAACTACTTTAATAGTTCGGTATACTATAATTTATTCATCTACTATTGCAGATTTTGGTTGGTATTAAAGATTTCAAAAAGTATTCCATTGTATAGACATGATAAGCTATTTTTAAAGTATCTATAAAGTTTAAAGGAAATTTTTCAATCAAACAACTTAATAATTACAAAGATTCAAAAGTTGTAGTTTATAGAACTAAGTTATCAAATACAATACTTAAGAACAAATCAGGTACTTAGAAAACCAAATCTCTGAATAAATTTGTAAAGTTATCGTTTTAGTGATTTCTGATGCCAGCAATATGATTAAGGGAATTCTAGATTATTGTTACAAAATTATAACAATGCTAACAAAGCAACACTCAATAAAAACTCATTAGCTATTCTGCTCATGCATTCAAGAAGTATTTACTGATACCTATTTGATAGGCACTATGCTAGGCCATGTTTCTATCAGTATTAAGAGGCCTCTTTCTAAAATATTCTATAAAATGAGGTAGCAGGATAAAACATTTTAACAAAATGTGGGGGAAAAAAAAATCCAAGTATCTATCTCTTCCACTGGATGATGAGCACTGCACAGGAGAGACTCATGTCTCTTTATTTCCAGTTTTTGGCAGAAAACAGAATTCATATCGTATTTGCTGAGTAACCACTTTTTATTGGAAAGTGTTGGGAACTGAAATTGAAAATCTGTGCTCTATAGTCTCAACTCTTGAATAACCAACTACATTTAGAATCTAGTTTTCCACTAATCTAAAACCACCTATGTTTATACAAATGAATTAATGTATACACTATTTTGATAATGCTGTTTTCACTCTATTTCCATGTTCATATCAGTCTGGCTGTGTAGCATTCTGTGAATTAATATAATTTAGAAAACTGGGCATGGTGGTGCATACTTGTAATCCCAGGATTTGGGATTAGGCTGAGGCAGGAAAATCACTGCAAATTCGAGACTAGTCCAGGCTACAAAGTGAGCTCAAGGCCTGAACAGCATAGGCAGATGCTGTCTCAAAAAAAGAGAAAACAATTCTCTTTGGTTACCTTTAAAGGTTATGTCAAGTGCTTTTACACTGTACAGCTAATGCTGCAACAGACACATCTTGCTTTATTAGTCTTCCGGACATTATGCAACAAGTGGGCTCATTTCTAAACATAAATAATCGACAATAAAAGGTAACCTAATAAAAAAGATTACCCATAAGTAGAATTTTGAAAGATAAATTACAATTCTATTTCGCCAAATCAACTGGTCACTGTCACAATTTAATGATTTTGAATGTGAATGCCCAACCTAAACCTTTTAAGACAACTGCCTCATATATATTTAGTAGAGATACTTTTGGTGACAAGCAGTAAAAATTCTGAAGTTACAAACAAAATGTCTAACGGAACTTCAATCCTTTTTAAAAGACCACCCACTACTCTTCTAATTCCTTGGAGGCAATATCCTTGCTCAGTCTCTCAGGCTGCACAAATGTAAGGGACTCTGGCCTTTTGAAAATGTCCTGACTTCTCTTTTCTTCCATTTACAGATTGTAGAGGAAAAGCAACCTACCCTACATACCTAAGCATTCAAGCCTTGACCACAGGCAGAGGTAGCTTACAAGAAAGCCAACTGCATTTTTTCACAATAAGAAGCTGGTTAATGTATATATTTCTTTAACAAATCGTGATGTGCTCCTACTACAGTATTGCATCTCTGCAGCGCGGCCCTCCATTACTGAAATCATTAACCCGGTTTCTTTGTTGTGTGTGGGGTGAAAGGAAAAGAAGAAAAACAGTTAACTATGTTGTAATTTAATTGTGGTCCACATATGATCACCAACAATTAGCAATAAAAAGACAATAAAGCCCATAAACGATACGTTCATTGTAGGTAAGAATGAGAGTCTTTCAGGCTAGCCAAATTATGCTCAAACGTGTAATTTTTAAAAGAAATATGCTATTCAATTTGCATTTTGTCTATGTCAAGTTTTTCATGAATGCCATGGAAGGTATATTTGTGTATTGTTTGCTTCACAGGATTTTCCGTATGCATACATAAACATAAAATCGGAACTCACCAGATACACACACATATACTCACATGTATAAAACAATTACCTTAGGCAAAAATTCCGTAGGTGTTACTTGGTGTGCGAAACCTTTCAGTTCTCTGAACTATTCCACATGACACAAAAGCGTGTGCAGTGACAAAGCTCTCCAAATACAAAGATACGCTTCTAAAAACGCTCCTAAAGCCAAGTTCACAGCTGGCACTTGTGGCACACTCAAGCCACTGCTGGGGCAGCTGTCACAGGCCAATCACACACACCCAAGAGTGCCAGCGTGCCACCTAAGGAAGGCAAGCTGATGATCCGCGCACAAATCCCCACCGAATAAAGAAAAGCCCTAAATCCCCCTGCTGGAAAGCACAATGCCTATCTACCACCTAGAAAGCTCCCTAGAAAAGTCAAAGAGGCTGGCGATTTAAAAGCAATAAATTTACCAATTTACAGCAATACAGCAAAATAGAGTTTTGATTTTTTTTTTTTTTTTTTTTAGCGTTCACGAGAAGGGAGCCACGCCATTCCATTTTCGAGTAGTCAGTAAGCACTGGGCTTTTCCTCTTGGGGAAACGGGAGAGGTGGGCGAGGAAAAAGGAAAAACGCAGACCCAGCAGCAACCCTCCCGGAGCAGCAGCGGAGGCTGCAACGAACTCGGCTTCCCAGGCCTCCTCCCACCCCTTCCCGGCCGCCGCCTCCCACCGCGCGAGCCGGCCGCCTCCCGCTCGCCTACCTTTGCCTTGCCAGCCTCCAGCTTCTTCTGCCTCTCCTCGTCCTCCATGGCCTCTGTGGGGCAGGCGGGTGGGAGACAGAGAGGGATCGGGGGTGGGAAGGAAAGGTCGGTTCAGACGGAGGTGGGTCGGCAACCTCCGCGGCCCAGGGAGTAGGGCCGGCCGGGCCGGCGCTCCGCCTGCCTGGGGTGGAACCACTCTCCGCGCTCACTGGCGAATTGTCCTCGTCCGCGAGAGCCGCGCCGTCACCGCCGCCATCTTCGTCTCCACGTAAACACACGGTGGGGCGCCGGGGGGAGAAGGAGGGACGTCGGTCCGCGCAGGCGCCGCGAGTCCGCGGCCGGGCAGGTGCACCGCTCCGCCGCCCCCAGCCCTGCCTCCTGGACGGGCTGGGGCAGAGCCGCTGCGGGACTCAGTCCCCGGCCGGTGTGGGGGCCGCAGGGCAGGCGGTGCCGGGCTCCTAGCGGACAGACACCCCGTTCCAACCTGGAGCACTGCCTTTGTATTTACAGAAATAGCAGAGCTCTAGTAGTGAAACCGGCGAACGCTTTTTGAAAAGCGCCAGTGGTAAGGATGAGGGGCAGGGAGGAGCCCACCGGACAACAGCATTTTAACCCCTGGACTCAAGAGACCTTCGCAAAAGATTCTTACTTCCTTAGTCTAAAAGCCCCTCCTTTGCTACATTGGTTCCCGCCCAATTCTGGATTCACCCTTTAAGGCCCAGGTCATGCACCGTTTCCAAATAGCTCTTGTGATTTCTTTGTTTCCGTACATCTTGCCTGGGATCTTACCTGCTCAAAACAGCTTCCTTCACCAAAGGTGTTCTGAAAGGAACCTAAATTTAGGAATCTGTGCTGGGGACAAAGCCAGGACACTTTCACTTTCTAGCTTTAGTGACCGTGAACAATTACCTATTCTTTCCGACCTTATCTGGAATTTTTTGGAAGGGCTGTTAACATGCGTGCCCTTGGCATACTAAAACATCTGAAGCAATGTCAGCTTTCTTTCTTCTTGCAGTCTAGGTATGCAGCACTATATTTTAATAATATTCCAAGATTCCTAGCTTCTCCATGGCAGAGATTTATCAGGAGTCTAACCCCAACTTGACATGTAGTGACTAGCATATTGCTTTCCACCGAATGAGTACTTGTTAGATTAAATTAAGATGTGTTTATAGACTGAGTATTGCTTTTTTTCTTCCATCATCTGGTCCCTCTGTCCTCCCCCCCCCCAACAACCCTCACATTCACTCCTGGGATGAACTAAACATTGTAACATCCCAGATTGATCATTTCTCCTTTGTTTTCTGCAAGGTGGGGCTGAAACTGTACAATGAGAACTAAAATAGACTAAGTTTAATCATAGAAGTGGTGTTAAATGAAAGTTGGGTCAAAAAGAAAAAGGGAGAGATTAAAGGCTTTACGCTACCACAAACCGAAGGCAATGACCCTAATTTGGAAATTCTCAGATTCAAGAAAGGTTTTGTTTTTGTTTTTGTATTTTGTACTGGGGATTGAACTCACAATCTCATGCTTGCCCAGCAGGCATTTAAGCCACTGAGCTAAACCCCTGGCCTCAAGGAAGATTTTTCCCCACTGAAATCCCACAATACGTACAGAATTGTACCAACATGTAACTGCCAGATATATAAACCCCTGTTATGTCAACTTGAATTTAGAATTAGTGCAGTGATGTAAATTCTGCCTGGATAGAGAGATTGTTTGTAGATTCTGATTGCCTAGAAGTTCCTAATAGGAGTACTGTAACTGCTTGTTAAAAGATACTTCTTTCTCAGTGACTAAGGGGTTCAATTATTTGTTCAAGTGTGTGCGAAAATAAAAACACCTGCCGAATCAACAAAGTTACTTCAGTTTCACCTCACTAATAAAACCAATCATGTATATGTTGTCTGTTTTACATATAATGGTTGCCCAATAAATGGGGCTTTTTTAGAGCAGAATATATTTATTGAAAGAAAGAAAGCTTCTGTGAGAGAGACAGACAGAAGGGGTCCCAAGTGAGTTGCCCATCCAGTAAATGTTGACAGTTGTGTGTAGTTCTATCAAAAGTGCAAGCATGTGGCTCTTGAGATTTCCTCTGGCACCTATTCATGTCATGTCTTGTCACATCATTCATACATTCATGCCATATCGTTCACTCACTCAAGTCATCCCTAGGAAGGACTTGAAAAAAGACGAGGGAGTGAGCCATGGAGGTAAGTGAGAGTAGTCCAGCAAATCCAAAGGAACTTAAACTACAGAATGACTTACGTGTTAAGGGAAGAATAGGAGGTGAGGGTGGTTACGGTGAAGTGACCAAGGAGGACAGTAGGCAATAAAGGCATTTGGAGTTCTGAAGGTCACTGTAAGGATTTTGGCTTTTACGCTGAGATCAGGAGCCATTGGAGAATTCTCAGCAGATGAGTGAAATAATCTGGTTTGTGTTAAACCAGGACGTTTGTTGCTATGAAGAGAAAGGGGGATCTATTTGGATGTTACTGCAATAATCCAGACAAGAGATAGTGGGAATTTGTACTACAGTTTAGTGGTAGTGGAAGCAATGATAAGATACCAGATTCTGAATATATTCTGAACCTAGAGTTAACAGTGCCATAAGAGTTGTAGATTAAATGGGAGGTTGGAGATTAAATGGTGAGTCAAGATTGACTCCAGAGGTTTTGCCCTGGGCAACTGAAATGATGAAGTTACTAGTAAGGGACTGAATAGGAGCAAATTTGGAGGAGACCAAGAGTTCAGTTTTGGACAAGATAACTTAGACATGCAAAGTAGGCATCAAGAAGTGATGTTATCCTTATATATCTAAATTTACAGTTCAGAAAAGAGGTCTCAGCTAGAAATAAAATTTCAAGAATGGTCAGAATTCAGCACACAGATGGCATTTTAAATTAGGGAATGGAATGAGTTGATCCAGTGCCATGCTTTTCAACTCAGCAGCCCAAAGGCAAGTATGAGTACGGGGTACATGAAATGTAGTCAGTCTGAGTGGCAGTATGCCATTAGCACAGCACACTAGATTTCAAAGACTTAGTATTAAAATAATTTTAAAGATGTTAATAACTAATAATTTTATACTGGTAAAGTGACTATATTTGTGGCACTTTGGGTCAAATTAAATATAGATGAATTTCTCTAGCTTTTAAATTTTTAACATTATTACTAGAAAATTTCAAACTATAAAAAAAGAAAATCTCAAATTATATATGTAGCTTGCATTTGTAATTTACATTATTTTTCTATTGGATTATACAGCTTTAAGGAGCAAATTTAGATAGAAAAGTGATAACACTGAGTAAATCTTAGAAAGCCCCATTTCTTTTTTTTTTTTTTTCTTTTTTTTTTTTTTTTGTATTTTTACTGGTACCAGGGATCAAACTCATAACCACGTGCTTGCAAGGCAGGCACTTATGCCACTGAGCTAAATCCCCAGCCCCAAAAGCCCCATTTCTAAACTGTGGTGAATCAGCCAATGAGATAGAGAGCAGTGGCTAGCTGTGAAAAATAAAAATTAAAAAAAATACATATATATATATATATATATATATATATATATATATATAAAACAGTAGTCAAGTGAAGAAAGGAATGATGAACTGTGATGACTGCCTCTAATAAGTCAAGTAAAATAAGAACTCAGAAAGGACCATTAGTTGTAGGTGCCTATAGAAGTTATTGCAGTTAAATCATTAATGCTTTCATACTGAGTGAAGACACTACTTTGGGATTCTCAAAGAACCCCTCACAGTCATGTCTAATGAACTAGAAATGAAAAGAAAAATGAACTCTCCCTTGACCAGAGTTTTACATTCTAGGAATTCTGTGTAGAACACCCATAAAATTCTTACATCTATTAGGTCACACTTCCTTTAGTGTTGACTTGCCTTCACAGTAGTAAGAACACTGTTATCCCAGTGGAATAAAATTCAAGATGTTTAAAACTACTTTTAATGTCCTAGTTATTTAAATGTCCTCGGCATTTAAATAGTCCTATTTCCTCTTCAGCAAGATAACAAACAAAGGAATATCAAGTACCTATGTGGACAGAAAACAAGATTGCTGTGTATTATAAATTGTGTTTTTGAAAAGCTTTTGCTGAACTCCCCAATATATTGTGACTCTAATTCCATGTTATTTCATTTTTCACAAATAGACCAGATACCAATACATATCACTAAACCTTTATCACAAAAACCACAATTGAGAAATTGAAGCAATTTCTTACTTTCTGTTAAAAAAAGAAAAACCTAATACAATATGCTTTTCTCCTATATTGGTTGGAACGAAATATACTTTCTAAATCATGAGGAAAGACCTCACAGTTCATATGCAGTTATCTTTTGTGGATTAAATAGTTTTCTTTTGCCTTTTCTCATATGATATTAAAATGTATTTCATCTTAAAATAATGGCTAAAAGGTACCATTCTTTGGATCTTGGCTGAACTCTGTATAACATCATTTGATGGTTTTCATTAAATATTTGAGCTATGTCTCTCACCACAGCAAATCATCTTAAGTTTCCCATACGCTTAAAATCTGTTTGTATCTCATATATATTAATGACAAAGTGGAAAATATGCCTGACTCTTCTCTTTTTTCTCTGACAGCCAGAGGAGACCTGACTCAACTGGCAGCTGTCCTTGAACTTCACTCTTGTTTCCGGTCACCTCAAGAGTGTCCTGGATGACTACCCCCCAGCATCTTCCCACCATCCTTGGGGTTGTTTCCTCAGCCTTTAGGCTTAGTTGACAGGAACTGCTAAACTGACAGCCAGGACACCCCTATCTGACTCCAGTCTTCCACAGGTGCTGATAGAAAATCATGTTTAATAAAGTAAAGACTGGAAAGGGATAGGACTTATTGCTCATATCCCTGAAATCCTCAATTTACTGGACCATGGTATATATGGCTGGCCCTCTCAGAGACTTGTTGGAAGCACCACAGTCATTAGTTCAGCCCTAACATTTTTTTTCTTCTTCTTCTTCTTTTTTTTTTTATCGGTACCAGGGATCGAACTCACAACTGCTTGCTTGCAAGGCAGGCACTTATGCCGCTGAGTTAAATCCCCAGCCCCAATCCCCAACATTTTTGCAGAAAGAGCTGTCAATTAAAAAGCCTCTTTTCCCTAAATTTGGTAAGCTGTCACCATGACAACTGAGGCTGTCCTAGATGCCCCAAGCAATCCTAAGAGTTAGATATTTGCTTTGGCCACCAGGCTTGAAACATGGATCCTTGTTTGACTGTACCTTGTAACCTCAAAATGACCATGCCCCTCTCTGTAATTACTACAGAAGTTCTAAAATAATTCTGGGAGATGCAAGAAACTGAACATTCATGACCTGATGCTCTTTTACTTAAGCACTGTTCCCTCACATTCCTCAAGTCAGTCTAGAAGAGTTCTCGTCTATGTACTAGGATACTAGGACAGGTCCCAGTAAAGTTTGACTTGTGTGGTCCTGTTGCCTACCAGGGTTTTTATCTCAGCCTAAGTATTTTGCACTAAATAGAGCAAGTAACACCAGGGACTAAGGATCCTGAAGATTTCCAGATACTGGCAAGGATATGTAGATACCTCAGTTAACCTGCAAAGAGCTTCAGAGAGGCAGCTGCTGGATGAATGCCAGAAAGTTGCCAAGAGAGTCAGTCATAAGCTTCTGCTGTTGAGGAA